CCCCAAAACCCCAAAACCCCAAAACCCCAAAATCCTCCTCACTCATTGAAATTGAGCTACGTAATAAAATGGACACGTAGCGTGTCCTCTGCGTGCAGAGGAATATTTGAGCGCATCAGGAAGGAATTAAGCAAGGGTTTTAGAGGCAGTTGGTGGATAGAAAAGGGGATTGGGGATTGGTGAATTTTTAGGATATGAAGGGGTTTTAAGGGATGAAGAGGTTTTTAGGGGGTGAAGGGGTGGGGAAGGGGTAAAAGAGGGGGTAGGAGGATTTGGGGATCTTGGACAATGGGGTCTTGGGGGTTGGTGAAGTGGGGTAGAGGGAGTTGGAATTAGGAATTTTTAAGTGCTATTTTTGGACCATAATGAAGTTTTGGAAGAGTTGGCATAGTAGTTTTTCGCTGAATTTGTGAAATAGTGGCGATATAAAGGGGAGCAACAAATCTGTAATTTTATTAAAACTTGAATGAGTATCTAATAACTCAGTTATGAGCTTTTTCATTTGCAGATGAGGTTGTTTGTGGTTAATAAGAGATAAATCCTTCATTTCGTTGATGTGGAAAATATTGTCTATCAATGAAGTAACTGATAGTATTCTTTTGATAAAATAATTGAACAGAGCCCTGACCAAAATAAAAGTATTTGTAAAAGAACTAGATACGAGTTGCTTTATTATTTATACATTGGCTCTTATTCTGAAATAGAGGGATTATTATAGGCTAATTTTTAATATGAGAGGATATTCGATGAACTTTGCCAAAATAGGAGTTATACCAAGAGACTCCGGAGTAAGAACCAAACTGTTGCTGTTTTGGATACTTTAAAACTTTTTTCTATACTTCTCTGTTGCTTTAGCAAGAAAATTGAGCATCTAACATCTTCTTATAGGAAATTTATCTTCCCATATTGATTCCATAAAATTATTTCGAATAAAAGTTTGATGAAACTTAGGTTGTTGTATAAAATCGAAATTTCTCTGATTCCCTCTAGCAGATATGAATTCTAAATTTTCTTTTGACATATCCAAAAAGATTCTCCTTCTCCTAAAGCTTGATTATGAGGGTAAGACATCACTAAATTATGGCTTGTCATGCCAACTTGTTTAGTGAGCTATCAGCAATAATGTTCAATTCCTCTTAATTTACTGCTAAACTTCAAAGAAATCAGAGACAATGGAGTCTGTCCTATTATAAAAAGAAATAAATCTTCCATTTATGATTATTTGTACGAAAATATTGAAGAATGTGCTCTGGAGCATTGAAATTTATAAAGACTTACCAAGAGACAAAAATATACTATCATTTGATAATCTGAATCATCCAAATGTTGAACTCTATATTTAGAATCAGCAATTTTATCTGAAGATTTTCAAAATATTTATTTAAAATGAAGGCAAATTTGTATAAATAACCATCTTATCATTTGTCAGAAGAAGAGTGGCTGAGTGAGAACTTTTATATTAACTTTTAAGAATATTAAAAAGGTGATACTTCTAGCCCTATTTTGTAATAATTTTAACTTTCTCTGAAGCTATTTATTTCAATCTGTGTACCCTACTTATCTAAAATGATAATTTATCAAAGGGTTTGGCCCATTTTCAGCCAATTTCTAAAATCTTTCTGAGAGTCTGATACCTATATAAGTTTGGAAAGCAAGATGTTAATAATAATTTTTATGAATTCTCATAATTTCTCAACATTTTCGCAAGCCAATAATTTGCCAACCTGGGATTCTGACAGACTGGTCCTTGAGATATCACAGGCATTCTGAATGTGCCCATCAGTAGAGATGATGCCTCTTAGCCTCAATCAATTTTGAGACTCCCGATATATCAAGAGTGGAACATATCCAGACATCCAAAAGTTGTTCTGAAATATGAGGTAAGTATTTTGTAAAGAATTGAGTTTAACCAAATTCTTAATCCCAGGCTTTCTCTACAAGTGCTAACCTTTTTATGTAGTTCGTCTGCACAGCAGCAACTCCCTAGCTCATCTTTGAACCAGAAAGTCGCAAAAATTAAAGATTCTCAACCCCATTTGGATGGCCAAAAATTTTCATCAAAAACAGATGAATCTGGAACCATTGATGAAGAACACCAAGCAATTAAGAAGAGGAGAAGGCGCTCGTCAAGACTAGAGATCAGGTCTAGGCTCATGAGAGTACGGAGCCAGATTCTGAAACAAGGGATCTCTGCTTTCTACAGTTCACCGAAGAAATCGAGAGGAATCATTTGTGAGAAAAGCAGAAGATCCAAGTACATTGGAGTTTCCAAGAACAACGATCATTGGCAGGCTCTAATCAACATCGGTAGGACCAAGAAGTACATTGATATCTTCCTCTCAGAACAAGAAGCTGCCAGGACCTACGATGTGTATGCAATCGCTATCAAGGGACTGGATGCGAACCTCAATTTCAACTACACAGGGGCCCAAATGGTGGCTATGATTGACCACTTTCTGCAGCATGGCCAAGTAGTTGCACCTTGAGCAGCAGAGACTGAACTCTCGTATCTAATTCGTTAATAATGTGTTTAACTCACTAACAACTGTTGAACAGGGAGGGGACCTATTAGTTGGCAAACTTCTATGCTATCATCTATACCAACAACACGTTTCTGAATTTCTGGGAAGAAAAGGAAGGTTGATAACCATGTGGGGGTTGATAAATCATCTCTTTTTATATCCTGAAAAATTTATTAGATAATTTAAAAATTCATAGATATTCTTCACTTTAAATTTCTTCATACACTCTTACTCCTTTACCTATCCCCACAATATTCGCCTCTTCTCTTCCAAATAAAGTATCTACTCCAACTATATACCCAACTCTCACCAGCGTCCATACACCCTCCCAATATTTCAATATCTCCTCTTCTTCCAGGGGTTTTGGGGTTTTGGGGTTTTGGGGTTTTGGGG